TTCAAAACTTTTTTTTTTTTTTTTTTTTTAAATATGTTTGAGGCAGTTAGCTTTATGGTTTCTGAAACACTAAGTAAAACAACTGCTGTGAATAAGCATTCTTTTTATTTGGAAGAGGTGGAAATATACACACTGGTACTCGGCTCTTTGATTCCAAATGTACAATGATTCTAAAATTCAAAGCTATCAGCACCAAAATGGTTAGATATTTTTCCATTTGAAAATCCTGGTAGGTTTGTAACTTCCTGAAGCATCCTCTGCAGAGTTTCTGTCAACTTGTTTCAGTGTCAACTGATTTTCTGCTCCTCTCTTCATGATATAATCTAAGTTTTTCATATCATCTTGACTGCTAGGTGCCTGCATTGGTAAAGCCTACCCTACATGTTCTCTGAAGCCAGGAAGTCATAGCCTCAAAGTCAGTGGTTCACCTATGATCTTTTAAGTATGTGCCAGGATACAATTATCAGGGAATCATTTCTCCCTTTTCTGATGTGAAGGCTTTGCATTCAAACAGTGTAGTTGTACAGCAGACAATCACTGTCCTTAATTAAACTGCAGTTAAATTTTTTGAGGGACTATATAGTAACTTAGGAATGCTGAAAGGGATCTGTAGTTATTGTAGCTAGAACCCACTTTGGTGTGCTCTAGGGAAAAACAAGTTGCAAGAAATGGAACCTGATTCTTTGTTGATACTCAGGAAGATTAAAGAATACTGTAATAGAAGGATTTCCAGGTTTTGAGTAAGAGTCCAGAATCTTTCAAAGAAATATTGATTGTTGAGTCTTGACCCTCTTCTATAGAAAGCCAATTTTAGAAGTAGCTTTTGGGTGATCTGTTACTCAAAAATACAGATATTATTTTTAAGTAAAGATGTTCTGGAGGAACAGTGTGAAAACCATATTAATATAATCTAAGGTGATGGAGCTAAGTGGACATCCTTTCAATAACTTTGTTGCTCTCAGTTCAACCTCTACCTGTGCAGGGAGACGGAGGATGTAGTTCACTGAATTTATTCAGTTATATTTAAGACACAGGAAAAAACAGCATCCAGCTCTGAACTGTTTTAAATCTGCAGGGGTTTCAGGAGTAGATCCCAGTCAGACTTTTCTTTAAAACCCAGTTCTTGAGTTCTTTTTAAGTTGTCAGAGAATATGGCTCACACCCCAATCACTTTTCGGAGAAGAGTGGCAAAACATGATGTTGAAGTTCAGAGGCATCTTTATTTGCTGCAGACCAATTACCCACTTAATGAACACACTGAAAAAAGATGGGATACGTGTGGGAGTAGAATCAGATTGACATTCCTTTGGAGAAAATTGTTGGGTTTTTTCTTATTATTACATCTTTCCATTCAGGTGTGCCCACAGTTTGAAACAACTAACTCAGTGGCACTGAAAGCATGCCAGAAGAAGCACTGTGGTCCTCACAAACCCCAGAATCAGGATGCCAACCACAATTTGCTCCATGCAGGAGGAGCTTGTCGAAGAGCTACAGTCCGCAAACTTCGTCCTTTGACTTTTGAGAATCCAGAAGGATATACAGTCCACCCCTCGGATCATCTGAGTTGCTCCAGGAAGAACACACAGCACTCTCACAGTCAGCCCAAGAAAGGGACAACAGCAACAGCAGACATCCAGGTGAAGAGCCTGGGGAGCTGTAGAGAAATACCTTCATCACCTGCTCCTCAGCCTGTGGATCCAGAGGTCTTTACTCCAGACACTCCACAGGTGCCTTCTGTAAGGAACTGGAGATGCAGCAGCAGTGCCTGGCATCCAGAAACAGAGCTGGCATCGGGTACAGACCCCTGTGGGAGCGGGGAGGCAGCGGCAGTACTGGTTACAGACACTCCCGAGCATGAGTATGGAATAAAGGTTACTTGGAGGCAGCGGCCTCACATCATGAAATATCTGCAGGAGAGGGGGCAGCTGAGTGCTGCTGACATACTGGTGACGGCGAACCCCGAGCTCTCAAGGAGACAGGCCAACGTCTGACTTGGCGGCAGCAGCAGTTACGTGCAAAGACACATCCAAACCGACCATCTCGCTTCCAAGGATGAGGAGGGGATTCAAAAGCCAAGCCCCGCGCTGCGGCCGGCTGAGCTTCCTGAGAAACGCCGCAGAGACACAGCGGGTGTTTTCCGGGGGACGGGGGGCTCTGACGGGCGCTTTCTGACCTGCGCCGTTCCTTGGCGGGACTGGGGCTCCCGGCCCTGAGGA